AAACAAAACTCCTCCAGTGAAGATAAACCAGAAAAATAAGGCCTCATCCTTCTGAATAAATAGAACTGAATACCCTTAGAGCTTAATTTGGGCCCAGCACACAATATGTGCTCAACATGTGCTTGCTGAATGGACGCTGTGCAAAAACAATTTTGGTTGTATACATAGCAAGAACGGAGTTGCTCCCCCAACCCTGGACTAACAGGACTTGGAGGCTTGAGAAAGGGAAGTGAAGATGAATCAATGTCCATCTGATGCCACAATATTGGTTATGCACTAAATAGCATTCAATCCCACCAGAGGGTACAGGCTCAAAATTTAGAACTGCAGACACATTTAGATAAACGCACGGATGCCAGATGCATAATGGGTTACTAAGGGAAACGAGGGTGGCCTAATTTTGAAGCCTGACATTAGGAAGACAAGCAGCCCTGGCCCTGTAGGACCCCCCATAAGAGTCAGAATCCAGGACTGATCTAGGGCCCGAGCTTCTCTCATGGGCTAAGCCAGCAAATTTAATTACATCTGAAAAGGGAATTGACACTTCAAGATGGGGGTGGGCAGGCCAGGTGCCCATGGCCAAGGCAAAGCCATGGCCAGATGCAGGCAGAGAAGTAGTGCCCTGTAAATGATTTTAAGGTTATCTGTGGGCTTGCTTCACCTCTGCTTCCAGAGACTAGAACCTCATCTTCCATCTTTGCTTCCCCTAAATAAGACACCGTGTCTTTCTTATGTGTACCAGGAGCTCAGATGTTTGTCAAATGAATGAACTATAATAACAGACAGCCTAGGCAGTCTACTTTGAGCAATGTGGCCTTCACTGAAGTCCCTGGAGTTGGAGGCAGTATGAAAAGGACAACAGGATCCCATGAAACCAGACACACAAGGAAAACAACAAAGAGAGATGAAGAAATGTTTTTGAGGAAGCTTGATCCAATACTTGAAGAGTGCTGTCACACAGAAAAGCAATTAGGTATGCTATATCAAAGCCCCAGAAATCAACTTTTGGCTGAATTTAAGGAAGAACTTATTCCTAGCAAAATGTTTCCCAGACTGCATTTAGCAGAATGCGAGCATTCAGGGGGTGGAGTACACTGGGGCAGGGTCAGAGAGAGGGAAGGGATTCTAATTTAGTCCATAGGAAAATAAGTTTGGGAATTTGGGTTCAGCAAAGGTAAATGGATATTCTCACTGAAGGACACAGCTTTCATCCCTTCTCAAACTTAGATGGCTCAAAAGCTTTTCATAGGATGATATGAACATCTCACACAATCTCTATATTCCAATCTCAGCTCAGGGGTAAAGAAGAATTAGAGGTGTCTGACAAAAGCATAATTGTATGAAGGGGTGTGTGTCCCACTAGTATTTGAGTACTTTTAGGATACAGGATTCAACACTGCATGGATGATACAGACAGAGATGCAATCTGAATAGAAAACTAGAACCATGGGTTCATTTTCTCATGAACTTTCATCTTGAGTAACCAAGTAGCTGGCAGGATGGTCCATACTGATGAGCATGCAGACAAACTGCCCTTGCCTGCCCTTGGTGTCCAAATAAATGGATAATATGGATATTGCAAAGAGGTCCTGGAATTAATCAATGCTGTTGGGTGAGAGGCTTAATGACAGCATGTGTTCTTGCCAGAGCCCAATTTGACTCTTCTCATATAGTATTTTCTAGGACATATTGCCTGCCTGTCTGCCTTCCTCATCCGTCCATCTAGTCTATAAATATTCACAGAGGGCCCTCCATAGCCTGGCAATGATGAGTAAAACCAGACAAGGTGCCGCTTCATGATTGCCTATTGGGGAATACAGACAACGAACAAATATTATACAAATGATGATTTAATTAAGGTTTTCCATATATGTTACAAAGGAAATGAATGGTGCGAAAACAACAGTAACTAACACAGAGACCTTGTCCAGTCTGGAGTTTCAGGGTGAATTCTCTAAAGGAGCACAGAAACTGTTCTGCAGAACCCCAAATGTGCAGGTCCAATACAAGTCTCTGACATTCTTCCAGGAAACCTCAGCCCAATGAGACTGGGAAAGACCACAAAGGCCCACCCAGCACAGAAGTCTCCTTTCAAGTACAAATCTAATGGATTTGAGACTATGATTCAGTAGGCCTGGGGTAGGTAACCAGGTGATTAAAATACTGCTACTCTGTAGACCACATTTAAGTAGCACTACTCTATAAAGCACTTTAAAAGATGTAAACAAATGGAGAACTAGCTATACCATGTCCATAGACAGAGAGGTTGGATCATAAAGATGTCAAATTTTCTCAAATTAACCCATGAGTTCAATAGGCTTTTAATCAAAACTCTCACAGAGTTTTTTTTTAATTGCTGTTCTTGTTTAATTCAACAAACTGATTCTGACATTCATTTAGAAGACTAAAACAATTTTGGAAAAGAACAAGTGAGAGACTTGCCTTACAGGCTCAAGGCTTACAAAAAAACTATAGGTGTGGTATGGGCACAGAGACAAAGAGACCAATGGAACAGAACAGAGAGCCCAAACACAGACTTGTGCTTAAAGGAAATTATGTGTAGAAGATGGCACTACAAATCAGAAAAGAATGAATGATCAGTAACTCCTGCTGGGAAAATAGGTTATTTATACATTAAAACCTGGATTTCTACCTAAAACAACATTAAAAACATAAAATTCCAGATGGATTATACTCCTAAATGTGAAAAAAAAAAAACCAAAAAACTGTAAAACTCTTAGAAGAAACTATGGAAAATTTTTTCAACTTTGGGGTAGGGAAATATATCTTAAATAAGACACCAACTGTGCAAACCCAGAAGAAAAATTGACAAATTCGACTTCAGTAAAATGGAAACTTCGGTATACCGTAAATAACAAAGAAAAGCCACACACTGGGAAAAGATAATATCTAGAATGTATCAACAATTTCTATCTGTAAGAAAAGACAAACAATCCAAATAGAAAATAATATAAACCTGAAGTTCACAGGTACAGAAATCAAATAGCAAAAAACAGACAACAAAACAAAACATGAAAGGGTGCTTAACCTCACAAGTAATCACAGAAATGTGAATTAAGATATCATTTAATGCCCATTACACTGGCAAAACAAAAACTGAACAGACCAAGTGCTGTCCAAAATGTGAAGCTATAGAAATTCTCACAAACTCTTGTCTGGAGTGTATTAGATTAATTTTTTTTTTTTTTTTTTTTGAGACAGTCTCTCGCTCTGTCGCCCAGGCTAGAGTGCAGTGGCGTGATCTCAGCTCACTGCAACCTTCGCCTTCCATATTCAAGTGATTCTCCTGCCTCAACCTCCTCCTGAGTAGATGGGATTACAGGCATGAACCACCACACCCAGCTAATTTTTGTATTTTTAGCAAAGACAGGGTTTCAACATGTTGGCCAGGCTGGCCTCAAACTCCTGACCTCAGGTGATCCGCCCACCTAGGCCTTTCAAAGTGCTGGGATTACAGATGTGAGCCTCCATGCCTGGCCTAGATTAATTTCTTTCTAAAGCAATTTTACATTATATGATAAAACTGACAACGCATGTATGCCACAACCCAGCAATTCCACTCAAGGAAGAACAGACTAGACATTTTTACTCAGTGTACTTAATAATAGTGAGAAATGGGCAATAGTCTAAATGCCCATCAGAGGACCTGGATAAATACAATATAGGCCATTCATACAATGAAATACTCTGGTAGAAAAATGAAAGAACCAAAGCTACATGTGCCAATATGGATACATCTAAGAACCAATATTGAGAAAAGAAATAAAGTTGTTATAGAAAATGTAAGTAATAGATACTAGTAACATAAAATTTGAAAAATATGCAAGAAATACCTAGGTGCTATTTGGGATATATATACGCCAGTATAAAGATGTACATGAGAGTGGTAAATCTAAATTCAGCATAATGACCTCTAGAGAGGGCAGGAGATGAATGGTATCTGGGAAAAGAATAAAAATCACTCATAAATCACTGCCGCACCACACACACATACACTACTATTAATCATCATCAGAGTAATGGAGGCTTCTTCAATGAAGCCAGGACTTTTTAGATTGCAAAGCTTCAGAAAGCATTTAGTCCAGCCTTTGACCCATGCAGGAAACTTCTCTCCAATACCTGGGGCAAGGGATCCTTCTACCTTTATAACAAACTTGCAAGTCAGGGCCACTGCGTATGGTTATACAGGTAGGGCACCACACAATTCTGGAATGTATATTTCATAATGTAAATTATGACCCCTTGCGTTGTTCAGTGTGCAGTGTACACAACCACACTCGGCAGACCTGTGAGGGTCACAGATCCTTTGGAACTCTGATAAAACTAGGCCAATTTCTGGGAAAATGCCCATCCACACAAGTACTACTTACAATTTCAGTGGATTCAGACACACCCCCAACAATGATTGGCAACCCTATACTGGTCAACTTCCAGGGACGGGTGCTCACAACCTTCTGAAGTACTTCCAGACAATGCAATGCTGTGAGACCAAGCTCTTCCCTATGCACATTTAAAACCTGCTTCTTTATAATCTCTATCCATTAAAGTTGATCTCCTTCCTTTCCATATGACAATTCAGCTACTGAAAGAAAGCTAATCCATCCCCCCTAGAGATTTACGCTTTCCAGGCTAAAAACACTCTTGACTTAGCTTATTGCAAACAGGCTGCATCTCTTCTTTTGCTCAAAATGAATTTTTAAACTGTCTATCCTTTCACTAAGCACTTCCTGCCCTAATAAGCAACTATGCACGCTGACATGTTATCAAAGAACAAGAAAACATTTCTCTCAGCTGCCCCTTTGGGAAACCTCTGAAGATGTGCACTCTTGCTTCCGAAGCCGTCGAATGCTCACAGAAGCCAGGAAGTGCCAGGCTGGAATGAAAGATCAGGCTTTTTCCAGGAATACGGGCAAGACCAAGTGAGCAGAACCAGGACAGAGCCCCCACAGGCCAAAGGAGACAAGTTCTTCTCCACTTACTCCCAAAACTCCATGACGGGGGAGGTGGCATTCTGCAGAGACACATGGCTGTAGTTGCTCACATTCAGTTTCTGGAACTCCACACAATTCTCTACAGTGGAAACAGACAAGAAATAGAAGAAAATTAACCTCCATGAAAGCTGAATCCTGAAAAACATTCAGGATGTGCAACTAGGCATTTTCATGTAGCCGCTCCAAGTAAACATGCGTCAAAGGGCATTGGGGAAAATCAATATTTTACAAACAGTTAAGAGGTTTGGACTGATTAGAACAGGAGGAAAAGTTTATGGGGAAGGGGACCTTCTCTCTCCCATTCCCAACCAACACTCCCTATCAAACCGTCTCCTCTACCCTTGTTCCCAAATCTTCTTTTCTTTTTTCCACTTCCCTGTCTGAGGCCCATCAGTAGCATTTAGTTGTCTGGCTGAAGGGCTCTAGTGGAATAGAAGGACTAAAGGAATGGATCATCCATGGTGACCTTGGGGCAGTAATGCAGCTGAGACTGTTTTACTTTATGTGAAAAGGGGCTAATGCCACAGCTGTCTCATCAAAATGTGATGATTGGAGGAAATGGTGTGAGCCAACATATGTCAAGAATCCCTGGTTTCTTCATCATTCCCTCACTCGATCCAGTCAATCAGAAAGGATTTACTGAATGCCTCTTCTCATTTCATGAAATTTGATGTCCCAGGGAGATTTAATCTCAAGTAAAAGCAACCTAGTATTCATCCTTCAAGGCCCAGTGCCCCTGGGCCTTAACCCCTCCCTCCAGGAGGGCTTCCCCAACCTCCCTCCCCTGAAATCTAAGAAAGCAAGAATTCAAAGGCCCTCCAAGGAATCACCTGCTCCAACTCCCTTTATTTTGAGGAAGAAGAATCTAAGGGTCAGAAATAGTCAAGGGACCCCCACCTATACCCTTTTCCTCCTATATAAAGTCACTGACCAGTTGTGGATAGAACTGAAATAAACTCCAGCCAGGGCTCCATCTACTTTGCCATGGGTATTGCCCAGAAAAGTCCACCACCATGGGACCCATGTCCCTCTGTTTAGAGACACCTGGGGCACCAGACCATGAGCTCCCCGAGGGCAAGGCCTCCTGTATCCATTCACCTCAGAGGCCCCTGCACCCTGCACCATGGCCAGCACGGAGCAGGTGCCCGGTTGGCTTCACTCTTGCATGTCTTCCATCTCACATACGTATGAATGCTCCAAATCACATCTGTAATCTCTGCAGGCAGGAATCACCTCCTATATGTGATGGTTCACACATTGCAAGTGTTCACACACCTTTAGAGAAAGGGGATTGCAAACCATTTGAAGAAAGAGGTTTGCAGTCCACTGGGGAAAATCCAGATTGTCTGCCTGCTTGTTGATCCTCTTGGCAAGCGCTACCTATGTTCTGAAAGGAGGTGGTCTGTGGGTCCTCAGTCAGGCTTGAGAGGAGCCTGGAAACCTGAAATTATAAGCAAGATTTCTGAATGTGTCCTGTGCCTTTTTCTGGAGAGAGGAGACCTTGACTTTTATCAGATTCCCTAAAATAGGATTTCTCAATTCTTTTTTTCTTCCTAGATTAAAAAAAAAATTTCTTGGACACCCAAGTTGACCAGTTATTTTTATTAAAATATTTAACCACGTACAAATAAACAATGAGTTATAAAGTCTTTGTGATTGTAGTATTCATACAATTATAAAAGCCAAATTAAATGTATAAATTAAATACCAAGCAAACTACAGAACCAACACAATTTAAAGTGATAACAGAAAATAGATGCATAGGATAATGCCATTTGGTAAAATTATATTGCTTTCCCAACAGAAAAATGAAACTGACACATAAGAAGCAGAATCTGTTGAGTTCAGGTGGTTTATTCCTCCGTGAACTATTTGAGATTTGATTACACCATTTTCCTCTGGTTACACTTCTGCAAAACTTTCATTCCCATGGTGTGTTGCATTCTCAACTGGACTTCACTTAGTAATAATGCTCTATTTATGAATTAAATCTTTCTGGTCTTTTTCCCTTGGCCACCATCATTCTATTTGCCACGAATGCATCTTAAATTACAAACATGCATAAAGTAAGCCACTGGAACCTCCTGACTGTCCTCAGTTATAAGGTGTTTGCTCAGACCATCCAGAACATGTGCATATTTTTAGAGTATCCTCAAAATAAGTACACACAATTAAATTATCCTAGAGGACTCACAGGCCTCCAAGAAAATGTCCTTGAATTATAGTTTGATAAACATTTCTATGAGTTCCCTGGCCAAAGGAAGGTTAAAAACTAGGGCCCTAAAGAGAGAAACAGCAAAAGCTCCACAAAATGCAACAGCCAGGGGTTGGGGGAGTGGGGGAGTAGGGCAGAGTCAGGCGTTGCATAGGGCTAGAAGCCACACTGCAGCATCTCTAGGTCTACCACCTGCGGTTCCTTCTACTGGTCACCAACATCCTACCCAATCTTACTGGATCTCAGCCCTCAGGATGGCAGGCCACTTCCAGACACAATCTAACACAGGTTATCATATGGATGGTGAACAGGTCAAAGTGTGTGTGCCAATTCCAGTCAAAAGGCAGCAGCTGTCTGGAGCACTATTGGAGAAGGGTTCTAAGGCCAAGACTAGACTGAGAAGGAAAGAGTGCTACAATTGATTAGCGATGTCTTCTGTGAGTATGGCCAGCTTAGACAGGGATTGGGCAGGGAAATGCCTTCCTTGGATTATCAAACTCAATGCTAATAGGAGGATATATGGAAAAACAAAGAATATATCGGAATCAAAAATAATCTAAAAAATTATCCATTCCAGCAGGAGTGGGGTTGGGGGTTAAATTCAAATGTCAGCTGGGTTGGATTGATAAAGTAAATGAATAAAGTGAGCTGGGTGGGGTTTGTGGTAACTCAATGACAGATTTGTCATTGAAGGCAATAGCCACCTTTTGGCTGTAGCCACTGCCGTCAGGCAGGAAAGTGGGTCTGGTGTCACCGGATTGTTTAAGTTTTTAAGATAGGCTGGAAACCTGAATTTTTCAGGTGAAGTCTTCCAACTTTTTAAATTTTGGCAACCAAATCCATTTTTTAAGTTTTCCATTCACTGATCTAAAGCCTGGTTGGCCTGTAGGTCCTCTGTCTGCAGCCCTTGATCTGGTCTAACCCCAGTTTTACAGGGGAAAACTTGACACTAGAGGCAAGACTGGTATTGGAGCCCTAGTCCCCTAAGTCTAAGTCTAGTGTTCTTCCTCACACCCCCATGCTACCCCCAAATGGTTCAGTCTCTGCATTTGACAGAAGACAGAACATCTCCATTCTCCTAACCATGCCAGTCTATGGGCCAATGCTCAGCTCAGCCTTTAGGGCTGCAACTCACAGAACGTACCAGAACAGGTGCAGAGCTGACCCTGTTTCAGCAAGACTACCCTAGAAAACTAGACTCTTGATGAGAGGCCAGGGACCAGGACTGGCCTGGAGGGCACAAACAAACCCCAATCCCAGGTCACCCAGCAGGACCAGCAGAGAGACCTCCGTGGGGCCATACCTGTGTTCCACTCATGCCCACAGGTAGCCCAGGGTAGCTCAGTAGTGAAGCAGTTGCTCAGGTAAAAAATGGCCCATGCCAGGATGATGATGTAGTACACATTCAGATGGGCCTCAATCACCTGCGTTGCATAGCCAATGCCTGAAGGGACAAAAGAAAGGAAGCAACTTGAGTCTATCTTTTCAAAACAATCTGCCTTTGCAGTTTACATTCCCTGTGCAAAATTTTATTTTCTCATTAACTCAACACATACCTTCAAATAAAGGGCAAACTTTCCTCCAACATGTAATGCCACCTTCACTTGTGAACTGCCCCAGAGCTGTCTCCAGGAAAAAAACAGGAATTCCACAGCAAATAAAAAACACCACGTAGGGAATCAGGAATGCCCCTGTAAGGATGCAAAGGAATGAGATGAAAACTGTCCCTGCCGTTTCATACTTGGTACAAGAACTCTTTAATAAACACCTACTACAGGCCAGACATGATGTTCTTTGAACTTGAGTTCAAGTTCCCATTATGAGGACCAGAGTCAGAAAACAGGGCTAGGTTTATGTGAGTCCACCTCACATCTCCAAGCCTCAACTTCTCCATCTGTAAAATGGAGCTTCAGTTTTTAACATCTGCACTGCTTCCCTCATAGAATTGTAATGCAGCTAAGATGATAATGTAAAAGAAATTGTTTCATTGGCTCATTAAAAAAAAATTACATCTCATCCTCCAGCATGGGTCAAATTCATTCCTTCCCTGAATGTTGCACCCTTTTTCATTTTAAAGTGACCTCAACAGACCAGGTGAGGGGCACTCCTTCCTCTTACTTTGGAAGTGACCTGCAAACAATCTTTGTCATAAAGAGCATTCTCAGGGAATTATACAATGAACAATATCAGGCCTCAAAGAATTAAGTACCCCTTCACATGAGGCCCAGGTGTGGTGTCAACTTGCAAGGAGTCTGCAAAAAGAATCTATCTAGCAAAGGCTGGCTTTGAATTGGTCCAGGAAGAGACCACCCTAAGCATTACTGTTTCTATTTGAAACACAATACCCATTGCCTGGGTCTTTCTGTGAAACAAATTAAATAACTGAGGTGAGCATGAACTATTACATCCAGAATGGGGATTTTTCCAAATCCCTCATTCTGTCCCTCCTGTCTAATAACAAAGCATGGTAACACATACTATTTGCTACCATCTGATCTCACAAATGAAGGCTTTAACTGAAAGTGCTTTTTGCTAAATGAAGTCTCCTTAACTGCAAGGATTAATAGCAACAATTTTGATCAATCCTGATAGCAGGACCGTATCTATCAGCGTTTGAAAGTGTCTTAGCTTTTCTGGGCAAGCAGCTAATTTAAAGTTTCATATTTGGAAATAAATACTTTAAACTATTGTTGGGATCTATAAGGAGGGCAGAATGGACGTTTTTGGGATCTATAAGGAGGGCAGAATGGACGTTTTTTAAAAGGTAAACAGTTGAGAAGCAGATATCCCAACTACATTAGAAAGCAAAAAGTGTGGAAAAGGAGATAAGAGGATCTGTTTACTGAATCTAAATCTAAGTGATTAAAATCAGTTGCAGCAGGTCCCCTAACATGCTGTTATTTACCTGTGAAACCTCTAGAATCTAACGTATAACGTATGACACTTTCGGAAAGCCTTTTGACCTGTGTATTCACAAAGCTACTAATCCTTAGGATAATAAACTCAATCAAACCAGGAGATCTATGCATCTCATGGAAACTCTTGACAAATCAGAAGAAAAAAAAATGACTCATTTTAAAAACTTTACTCACTACAACCCTTTTTTTTTAAGAAAAAAAAAATCTGTGACAGAATTTGTAATTAACCCAATTTACCCTGTTTTCTGCTTTTAGGAATGCTTTTTGTTTGGGCACAACATTTCCTGTATGGAAAAAAAAGATGTTAAAACAATTTGTGCCTGGGGACTACCCTAGATTTCCACAGGTTTCCAAGTGGACGCAGTTTACAAACGCTGAATCTGCAAAGAGAGGCGGGATTCAGAGCCGAGAGCACAGGGCACGTTGGGGGTCTCCAAGTCCACTCCCTCTCTCTTCCTTGCCAAGCCATCAACACCGGCGGCCACTTCATTACCAGTGCAGAGCAGGCTTGGAGCAGCCTGTGCCTTCAGGATGAATGTCCCCAAAGAAAGGGCCTGGGCCAAGCAGTACCCTTCTCGCTCTCCCGGCAGCTGCTCGCACAGGAAGTCCTGCTCTGCTCAGACAACGCGGTCCCTGCCAGCCAACTTCTGAGCCACCTTCGCTGGGGTTTGGGAATTTGCTGGAGGGGCAGGGGCACAGGAAAGAGAAGAGGGAATATACAGATACAGGCTCTTCCTTGGAGAAACTGTGCCACCGAAGGAGGTTTTATAAGATCCCTTGCCATGGACCAGCCCAGCTGTCCTGCTGATATGACAGGAGGGGGTCCTGAAGGCTGGAGCCCCTTCCCTGAGCTGGGAGAGTTACGGATTCGCTGCTGCATCTTTTGTCAAACTGACTTTGAGAGGCTGTCACTAGAAAGGACTCTCTCGTCACCATCCTTTCCCTCTGCCCTTCTACATCTCTACGGCAGAGCATCAGCATTAAACCAGTGTTGCTGTTTGTCGTGGGTGACTCTCAGACCCGTAAAATAAACTGTTGCCAATTCTTCCACCAGAGGGGCCCCAAATAGTGGCCCTAAAATGGGCTTAAGAGTAGACGAAAGACTAGGCAGGAAACCATCGAGCAATGCCTCGCCTAAAAGTTCTCCCTGTGATGAGTCCAGTTCCAGTTTAAAACAAGGCCTTTGACATCAGAATCCCATCTTTATTTTTGGTCGAGTGAGACTTCTCTGACCCTCAGTGTCCTCATCTGCAAAATGGGTAGACCCCTGCCTACGAAAGTGACCGAGAGGATGAGATGAGATGATATAGGTCAAAGGTGCTCGGCACTTCAGTAAGCGCGCAAAAACTGAGACCACTTTGATCATCAGGAGTCCCTTCTCCACAGGCCTTTTTCCCAGTTAGGAAAGCTGAGGCTCAAAGCGGCCAAGTGCCTGAAACATCAGGGCGCGTACCCAAAGCAAGCGCTCCCTGGCCTCGCTCTGCATCTCACGCTGAGGACAGAACGCGGGCAAGTCCCCGCGCTGGCCGGTGGAACCCTCAGGTGCGAATTGGCACGTGCGCGTGCGCACTGGCACAGGTGGGCCGCGCTCCGGAGCGAGCTCACGCGCCAGGTGCCTGGAGTCGAGGTTCTCCGCTCGGGTTCCGCTCCACGCAGGCGCGGGAGGGGGTCTCGCGCTAGCCCCTGGTTCCCCGCCCCCACCGGGCGGGTGGCGCCACCTCCCCTTCTCCCTATCACCTCACCTCCTCCGTTCTTGTAGCACAGGTAGGGGAAGCGCCACACGTTGCCCAGCCCAATGATCTCCCCGGCCACGCTCAGCACGAACTCAACCTTGTTGTTCCAGTGGCCGCGCTCGTGGACCGCCTTGTCGCGCTTGTCGCGCGGGTCGCGCGCGGGCGCCGCGCCCCCGCTGCTGCCGCTGCCACCCGGCGCCTCGGACTCCCGCGCCTCCTCTGCAGCCTTCCCATTGCCCAGGGGCAGCGCCTTCTCCGCCGTCATGGCCGCGCTGGCTGCCTCGTGCGCCGGCCCGGCTCTGCGCCGCCGCCCCGGGCGGGCTGGCTTTTCAGGAGGCGCGAGCAGGCGGGAGGGGGAGGCAGGGGGTGGAGCTGAGGGACCGGGCCAGGCCAGCGCGGAGACGGGGACTGGGACGCGGCGCGGCGCGGAGGCCCGGCCCGCAGGACGCCCACGCCACCTCAGCCCGGCTGGGCCAGAGAGCCCGCCAGCACCTTGCGCGCGCCGAGCCCCTGCAGCGCCCATCCTTCCCGCAGCCCTACCCACTGACCTGCTGGGACAAGAGTGGAAGCGCCCATTTAGGCCTAGGCTGGCACCACTCACCAAACGCCAAAGTTCTACTACCGTCCATAACCTTCAGATGCTTGGGCCTCAGTTTCCCGTCTCTAATAAGAGGAATGGGCTCTAGACCAGACTTCTCCAACTTGAACGTACACACCAGACACCTGCGGGTCATGTTTAAACTACACATCACGGTCTAGTAGATCACAGTAGGCTGAAGAGCCTGCGTGTCTGACGAGCTCCCCAGTGATGCCATTATGTCTGGTCCAGGGACCACACCTTGAGGGAAAGGGTGTAAATGAACTTGTGGCTTCTTCCCAGCCCTAGACACCCTGCAGGTCTTGTTCATACTGGTGTCCGCAGCTCTCAACATAGTCAGGACCGGGTGGCAGTTAAGTGCTTGTGTCTAGAAACAGGTAAATCTAAGTTGTGTGATTTTGGTCAGTCATCTGATCCCTCTGTGCCTCAGTTTCCTGGTCTGCAAAAGGTAATACCAGTAGGGTCTTGTAGGTTTTAATGTAGGGGATGGATTTTTAGGTAAAAGGTTATTAAATGCTTATAAAGGTCTTGATACCTTGAAAGTGCCCAATGAACATTGCCCACTTTAGTATTATACAACGTGTAGACATACACACATTTGTCCATCTTCTTGTATAATATTTGTCTCCTCATTTGTAAGGATGATATACACTGTCCTGTTCATTATAATAGCCACAGAACCTAGCACAAGACTTGGTGCATAGTATGTGCTCAATAAATATTTGTGGCTAGAGAGGAAGGAAGGAAGGAAGAGGAAAAGGGGAAGAAGGAAAGACTATTAAAGCTGCTGGGGGCCACAGAGATGGATACTTCCACCTCTTCCATTGCACAGGCCTGGAGAAGTCCAGCCACATGAGCCCCCACCAGCTCTGCTCTCCATCTGTTCCTTGGACCTCCCTCTGGACCTCTCTTAGGGACAGGCTCCCTGCCTTGTAGGCTTCAAACTCTTGCCTTCAGCTTCTCCTTTCGTTCTGGCTCACAACTGCTCAAGTCTCTCCCAACCTGCATCTCCCCAGAAAGCCTTTCCTTCCACCATCTTCCCTTTTCCCCTCCCCCCCACTATCATATTTCTTGAAAGAGTAAGTTGACAGGCTGCCAGCCCTGTCTTCACCTCCCACGCGTTCCTCAGCCCACGGCAATCTGGCACCCACCCCCACCACTCCTCTGAAAATGCTGTGAAGTCCTGGACGCCCTCTCAGTTTGGCAAATTCTGCGGTTCCTTTTCCATCCCCATCCTGCCTGGCCTCTAGGTAACTTTCTGCACCGTTGCTCCCTCCTTTGCTTCTTAAAATTCCCACTGGTGTGGTTTTCTTGGCATTGCCTGACACAGCTACCGTTTCTCTCCCTGCTTCTCTGGTTCTCCTTTCTCTCTCCTTAAATTCAGCCTTTCTCATATCTTGAACCACTGAACTAAATGTGGGTGCCTCCCAAACCTCTGTCCCCATGTGCTTCCCAGGTTACGTTTAAAAGCAAAGATGCTGCGGTGTTCAGGGTGAGAGTATGAGAGTATACTGAATTCAGATCGATGTGGCCTCGCATCCAAGCTCTGCCCCTTAGGTGCTCTGTTACCTCTTTGCCTCACGCTTCTCACCTGTTAAGTGGGCTTCACATGCGTTCTGACCTCATAGGGTGGGTGTGAGGGTTAAAAGCTTCAGCAGGAGCTCTGTGAACAGTAGCTATTATTGTTATTTATTATCTCTATTTTTTAAAAGATGGAGTCTCACTCTGTCACCCAGGCTGGAGTACAATAGCACAATCTTGACTTACTGCAACCTCCACCTCCCAGGTTCAAGCAATTCTCCTGCCTCAGCCTCCCGAGTAGCTGGGATTACAGGTGTCCACTACCACACCCAGCTAATTTTTGTATTTTTAGTAGAGACAGGGTTTCACCATGTTGGCCAGGCTGGTCTTGAACTCCTGACCTCAGGTGATCTGCCCGCCTCAGCCTCCCAAAGTGCTAGGATTACAGGCGTGAGCCACCACGCTTGGCCAGTAGCTATTGTTTATATTGTGAGGAGGAGGAGGATGGTTAGTTCATTCCCTTGCTTAAAAGCCCTAATGGGGGGCCAACGTAGCAAGACCCTATCTTTAAAATTAAAATAAAATAAAATACGTAGCCAGATGTGGTAGTGCACACCTATAGTCTCAATTACTCAGGAGGCTGAGGCAGGAGGATGGCATAAGCTTGAACTCCCCCAGGAGTTCGAAGCTGCAGTGAGCCATGATCATGTCACTGCATTCCAATCTGGAGCGCAGCACAAGATCCTGACTGCAAAAACAAACAAAAAAACCTTCATTGGACTTCCTTTTCCTACAGGATAAAACCAAATTCCTGGCCCCAATATTCAAAATTCCCCCTCAATCAAATGGTTCCAACCTTTCCTTCTACCATTTTTGAATGCCATTTTTCTCCCACACTAAGACATCATTATTTTTGTTTTCTTTTGGATGATCCTCAATGCCGTATATAGAATAAAGGAAGGAATTTACCTTCGACCCCAATGATCCTTATGCAGAGTAGGCACATAGTAGCTAGGAGCCAATTTGTTAAATGAACAAGTACATCAAAAGTTAGACATATTCCTGAATCTTACTATTGCAATATTAGGCTGTCGCTCCAGAATCTGTACAAAGCTCCTTTGAAACTAATTACATTTTCGCTTTCTGCTGGTGCTCAGCATAATTAGCTCCAGGAATTGACTTCCTCTAAGCAGCTGTGATTCTACCAGACCTGCTTGGGAAGTAACACTGAACCAGCAACAGAGGGCTGGGGCTGGCCATCATCTGGTCTGGGACCCAGGCCCAGTTCTGCTGATGGATGGTTTTGTGGCGTTGGGTACATCACCCAATCTCTCTGAGCTCTGGTGTCCTCATTTTATTCAAATGAGCACAATTATTCCCATGTCCCAGGGTGGTCATCAAGGCAAAATGAGATCACATGCAGGGAAGAACATTGTACAAATACTAATGTTGCAAACTCACCTCTCAGGTTTGAATGGTTCCCTTTGTAAAAGTTAGCCAGGTCAATTTCCTATTTGAATTTAGTAAGTAAATATTTAAAGTCCATCTCCTTGGTTATTATATGGCCCTTGAAAAGCCTTGATCTTTTTACTCTGTCCTTCTCCAGAAGAGTCCACATCTGCTTCATCATTGCAGGACCTCATCTCTAGACCTTTGCCACTTCATTTCTTTGTTGAGGGACAGTGGACTGAAGAGCACACACTGATTGTGGGGTCGATATACAGGGATTGGGACACAAATGGAACACACATCTTATCCCCAGGGCTGGCCCTAATGCAACACAGCACAGTGGGTAAGAATGTTGGTTCTGCAGTGACACTGCCTGGTTTCAAAGCCAACTCCAAATGACCTTGGAAAATGACTTCATGTCTCTGAGTTTCTGTTTCCTTAGCTGTAAAACCAGGGTAGTAATAGTATCTGCCTTTTAGTTGTCATGAGGATTGAGTGGGTTAGTATTTGTAAAGCACTTGGATTTGTGCCTGATAGACATGTTTGTTATAAGCAGTCTTCAGAGGACAGAAATGTCATGGCTCCCTTATTCCTTTCTTGGGGCAAGCACTCAATGTCTTCCATCTTCTGGAAACAGCAGTTGCTGTCCTGAGGCTCATTGAAACTTCACCATTGCTCATTCATTCATTCATTCACCAAATGCTTTGGTTCTTTTTTTTTTTTTTTTTTTTTGTATTTTTATTAGAGATGGGATTTTACCATGTTGGCCAGGCTGGTCTCAAACTCCTGACCTCAAGTGATCTGCCTGCCTCAGCTTCCCAAAGTGGTAGAATTACAGGCGTAATCCACCATGCCCGGCCTTGCTTTGGCTCTTTAATTATTTTCCAGATGCAATATCGGTCGCTAGGGAGCAACACCAGATATAAGCCTCACCTCAATGGTATGCTCGAGCTGGCTCACACTAGCTCATGACAGCCGATTGTTGCATTTTCAGGGATTTTGCAAGGCGCCGTTGTTGGTATCTTGAAATCTTCCAAGGTGGTTGCATTTACACCGTGGGAATTTGCAAGTGCCACAGATCAGCCCTGCCCTCACCAGCCAGTGTGCATGCCCCATTACAGGATGGTGGCGGAGGCAGATGTTAACCAAGCCATCACAGAAATGAAAGTTAGAGGTGCTCAGCGATGTGCAAGGGAAAAGGTTGTGTTGCTAGAGAGCTTGTAACCCAGCAATCTAGCCTTGGCAAGGAGATAAGGCAGAGCTTCCTGAGCAAGTTGACAGATGAGCCGGAGCCTGAAGGGAGAAAAACAGTGAACTGAACAAGGAGGGTCTGGGGTTCCGGAGGATGCTTGCCAGGGTCAAGGCTGGAGAGCATGGTGTGGAACAAGATGTGCTTGAAGGTGAAGCATTTTTAGCAGTGGGTGCCATGAGAACACATTCACATTGTAAAAAGATGACTTCTGACACAGCGTGAAAAGTACATTATAGGGCGGGGTGGTGATGGGGGGCAGTGAAGAAGCTACCACACTGGTCCAAGCAAGAGGTGATGGCAGCTTAGACTGAAGAGAGGAGAGTGACATTGAAGGCTAAACTCAGAGGACTTGACTAGGTCTGGATATGAGCATGAGGGAAGGGAAGATGTCAAGTACATCTCCTGGGTTAGTAGAGCTACAGCAGCCCATCGAGAGGGTAAAAGTCCCCCTCCGCTTCGTGCCAATGCAGCCATGGTTGTCTCACTTAGGGTGTGATAAACCAGAA